CTGCCCCGCCCCGCGCCGCGCCGCCCCGCGCCCAGGTGCTCTCCCGCCTCCGGGCCCGGGCTGGCCGCGCCCGCTGTCAATCACCGACAGCCGCGCAGCCGGCGGGGGAGGCGCTGTCCAGTGCTGGAGGAGGCCTGCCCGGGGGCGCAGCCGAGCGGCTCTCCAGCTCGCGGAGAAATAAGAAATAAATCCCCGCACTGAGGAACTTACTGGGGATCATCTGAGATGAGGATAATAGAGACATCTGCTGGCTGGGCGCGACACGCAGCGTCCAGCCGCGCGCGGGGAGCGGGAGGAGGCTTCCTGCACGCACGCACGGCCGGCCGGGGAAGTGCGGGGGCGCTCCGACTCCAGGCGGCTGCAGCCGAGGCGCGGGTGAGAAGGGAGCCAGGGGCCAGGACACGTGGAAACGCCTTCCTGCCAAACCGCGGACAGAGGCTGCAGCCCGTGAGAGGCAAGAGGGCCACAGGAGCGCCTGCTCTCCCGGCCCTAGGCTGCTACCGCTCCAGACACAACTGAACCCACGGCCTTGCCTTCAGTTGACGTGTGTGCGTGTGTGTCTAGCTCTTCAACGGTTACTGCCTCTCTGACTGCCCGGCCGGCCGTTAAACTCCAGCTGAAGGAAGAGTAATACTAATACAGTTCAATGTAAATTAACTTTGTAGCCCATTTTCCCATGTAATATAATACATCAAATCTTTGCTTAATATTCATCTTTAATCTGAATTAACATTCATGTTGTTGATAGAAGAGAGAAGATGATAATGATTTTTAAAAATGTCCTTCCAGCATGCCATGTCAATACACATTAATAGCCTCCATTAAGAATAATTTACCTGTATTTAGCTTTCCCTTTTGTGGGTATATCATAAGCAATCATTTAGAAATTGAATATTTTGAGGAAGTCAGAAATCATGGTCTTTACAGTTTTACACAACATGGAGTACCACATGTGAAAAGTTTATATGTGAGCCAATACCTGTATGTGCACTGAGCCCAGCGTGCTAGTGGGAAATAGCCTTGTTCTGATGGGTAAATGCTAAGGCTGGGCTTAGGTGTCATGCCCCAAGCCATATACGGAATCAAGATCTTGATAAGCAGTCAAGGCAACATAAGTAAAATAATATTTAAGTGCAGTAGAATGCCAGATAAGCAATTGTGATATAATGAGAAATCACTTCTGTGACTATTTTCTGACGTGCACATATCTAAACCCTGACTAGCCTTGCTAAGGGGCCCTTCTCCATTCTGTCAGCAGCCATGCTAGCCTCCTTGTTTTTCATCTCTCTGATCTCACTTCTTAACCTCTTTTGTAGTCCCCCTGTAACTTCCTTTGACCTAGCTCTCCAGAACCCTTTGCCCATCCCTTTAGGGCCCTTTGCACCTGAAGAAACTCCTGCTAATGAGGCAGAAATGTGCCAGGGGTACATTTTCCAAGATTCCAAATTGGGTAGGCCTGAACAGAGGACAGCAAGAAACAAATGGCTATATAGCTCTGCTATTTCACTGGCTTGCTCTAAGTTTTGTAGTTTCTGTATTACTGCATACAAGATGGAGGGTAAATAAGTTAGTTGGGAGCTATTCTCAGAGGATGGTGTCATATCTGTTAGTGTGCCAGATAAAACAACACCATAGAGAACTGAAAAACCCTATCACTATTTTCTACAACTGGCTTCAGAACTTAGGCCTGCTCCCAGAATGGTGCTCATACACAGTGATGTAGAAATTCAGACAGGATCAGTGTTTGGCTGTCAGAAGCGCTTTATTTTGCAAGGCCACAGGAGAAGAAGCAAGGGGCAGCTAATTCTCAATGAGAGCAAAGCACAGACCCCTTTATATACTAGTAAGGTACATACAGGTCAACCTGCCCGGTAACATACTCTTGGCAGTCTGACAGCGACTCATCCTGTTGTTTGCTGAACCAAGCACAGTTTTCTCAAGTTGTCTTCTGATAAGCTTATCCTGAAGGCCGCCTTGTTGTTGCCACTCGGTCTTCACCCACATCCCCCATCCTGTCCTGACACATATATGCTTCTCTCAGTACTTTTCCATTCCTCATCAACAGCAAAGGTAGGAAGAATTCAAAATAAGACAGAGGTTAAGCCAATACAAAGATACAATTTCCTGTTGTCTGAAAGTAATTGTCCATCAGACACCAATGGCCTATCATTCAGACTACTCTTTAGATTGACCAGCACATTGCCAGAGCAACAGGAAACAGATGAAGGCGCATCTAACAAAAAATGAAAGCTAATTTTGGATTGTCTTGCATTGACCCAAATAGGAAGCTACCATGTGATAGTCCTATGAATTTAAAGCCACATAGTATTCACCTTTGATTATCTTTTATTATGTTAGCTTCACTAGTACACTAAAGGAGCACAAGGCTGCCACAACATTGCACACAGTTAAATTGGGCTCTAATGCCCCCAAAGCAGCAAAAAGCAATTCAATTTGTAATTGAATTATTGCCATATTGTTGCTTGGGCAACTGGTGCAATTTGAAAATGGACAGAAAGAACTATTTTGGAATCAAAGAATCATAGAAAATTAGGGTTGGAATGGATGTCAGAAAGTCATCTAATCCAAACCCTTGCTCAAAGTAGGACCATCCCCAACTATATCATCCTGGCCAAAGCTTTACTTGGATCTTAAAAATCTCCAAGGATGGAGATTCCACAACCTTCCTGGGTAACCTGTTCCAGTGCTTTAGTACTCTTCTTGTGAGAAAGGTTTTCCTAATATCTAACCGACACTTCGCTTGCTGCAACTTGAGACCATTGCTCCTTGTTCTGTCATCTGCCACCACTGAGAACAGTCTAAGGCTATCCTCTTTGGAAATCCCCTTTCAGGGACTGGAAAGCTGCTATTAAATCCCCCCTCACTCTTTTTTTCTCCAGATCAAATAAGCCCAGTTCCCTCAGCCTTTCCTCAGACATCATGTGCCCCAGCCCGCTAAACATTGTCATTGTTCTGTTGGGGGTTAATTATCAATTTAGTGCCAGAGGATTGGAAAAGGGCCAGTGTGGTCCCCATTTTCAAAAAAGGGAGGAAGAAGGACCCAGGAAATTATAGGCCTGTTAGTCTTACCTTGGTCCTGGAAAAGCTCTTTGAGAAAATTATCCAGGTACACATCTGCGAGGGGCAAGCAGGGGAGTGTATGCTTAGGGGCAACAAACACGAGTTCATTAGAGGCAGGTCCTGTCACACCAACCTGGTGGCCTTCCATGACCAGGTCACAAAATACTTGGACGCAGTTCAGCCACACACATGCACCCTACACACCAAGCTCAGATGCTCCCAGCCCCACACATACCCAGACACACACAGTTTCTTTATAGGGGTAGTTCACCTGGCACGCCAGGGCTCTGCACATGGCACGTGGGTGTGTGCACAGCACTCTATTCCAGGGTCTCTTGAGGGTGGGTCAGATAAAGGTTATCTGTTGACCTACTTAACATAAACTAAACGAGCCAAGCCCCGATTTCCACCATTACAGCCCTTCATTGGATCCGCTCCAATTTGTCCATATCCTTTCTGCAGTGAGGGGACCAAAACTGGATGCAATACTCCAGATGTGGCCTCACAAGTGCTTAACAGGGGGGAATAATCACGTCCCTTGATCTACTGGCAATGCTCCTACTAATGAAGCCCAGTATGTTGTTAGCTGTCAGCTCATATTCAGCTTATTGTCCACTGCAACCACTAGGTTTTTTAATGAAGAGCTGCTGTTTAGCCAGTCAGTCCCCAACCTGTACTGGTGCTTGGGATTGTTCTGTCCTAAGTTCAGGACTTCACCCTTGTCCTTATTGAAGCCTATGAGTAGGGGGCTACCTAATTTGTGGGGCTGTCCCCCAATTTCATGGGCAGACTGTGGGCCCTGGCAACCATTTTGTGGGTGGAGCAAGATGCCCCCACCCCGATTGGCTGAGGGGTCCCAGTGGCCCCACTTCTCACCACTACTTGTCTGTGGGGGGCATGCCCTTCAGCATGATGGGCTGCAAGAGCTATCAGTCATGAAGCTCTGCCCCTCACCACCAATTGGTGGAGAGGGGAAGGGCCACAAGTCAGGTAGCCCTTAGAGTGGGCAGGCTCTCCGCCCCCCTCCCTTCCTCCTGGCCCTAACAAGATACCACAGTGCTCAGTATTTTTTTTTCCCCATGGATTTTGCAGATTCCATGGGCATTACTGAGATTTCACAGGCAATGCCAGATTTTGCGAATTCAGTAGGTCCCTTCTCATGAGATATCTTAAGGTCCAATTCTCTAATATGTCAAGGTCTCTCTAAATCTTAGCCCTATCCTCCAGCATATCTATGGCTCCCCACAGCTTGGTATCATCTGCAGATTTGCTGAGGATGAAATCCATCCCATCTTCCAGGTCATTGAAGAAGATATTGAACAAAACCAGCCCCAAGACCAACCACTGGGGCACTCCACTTGATACCAGCTGCCAACTAGGCATTGAACCACTGATTACTACCCTTTGAGCCTGGTGATCCATCCAGTTTTCTATCTACCTTACAGTCCACTAATCCAACCTGTACTTAGCTTGCTTGCAAGAATGTTGTGGGAGACTATAACAAAAGCCTTACCAAAATCAAGGTATATCATGTCCAGTGCTCTCCCTGAATTCAGAGCCATTCATTTCATCATAGAAGACAATCAGATTGGTCAAGCATGATTTACCCTTAGTAAATCCATGATGACTGTTCCTAATTACCTTCTTATCCTCCAAGTGCTTAGAAATGAACTCCTTGGGGACCTGTTTCATGATTTTTCCAGGGAGTGAAGTGTGGTTGACGAGTCTTTAGTTCCCCAGATTCTTCTTCTTCCCTTGCTCCATGATAAGCACTGTAGCTGCCCTTTTCTAATCATCCAGGACATCTCCCAATCACCATGAGTTTTCAAAGGTAATGGCCAGAAGCTCTGCAGTCACAGCAGGCAACTCCCTCAGCACCCTAGGGTACATCACATCCAGCCCCTGGGGCTTTTACACATCCAACTTTTCTAAAAAGTCCCTAACTTGTTCTTTCACCACTGTCAGCTGCTCACCTGCTCCCCAAACTATGCTGCCAGGTGCAGTAGTCTGGAAGCTGACCTTGCTTGTGAAGACTGAGGTAAAAAGGGTATTGAGGTATTGAGGTAAAAAGGCCTTTTCTGCATCATCTGTCACTAGGTTGCCTCCCCCATATATTAAAGGACCCACACTTTCTCTGGT